AAAATAATACAGTGTTGAAAACAATCCTTACTTTAATTGTTTCGGCTATAAAAGATTTTCCAAATACTTCATTTTTGAGTTGATTTTATTGAATTACGTAGAACTTTCGTCAAAATTTAACAGAAAAATATATAAATAAATGTTACTGAATTATTAAGTAATTAGGGAAGTGAAAAAGGTAACAAACTATAGGAAAACAATAAAAGGGTTTTTGTGAGAGGAAACAACCATGAAACAATGTGCACAATAAAGTAAAAGTCTTCTCTCAAGTCTTGAGAGTAACTTTTACGAAGATTCTCCTCTACCTCCATCTTCATATTACTTATTTACATCAGTGTTTTGAATGATCTCCCAACAGAATTTGAATTTTAGTATCTTTTCTCTATGGCTTCTTCTTCTTCAAGCAGCAGGAGATACGACGTTTTCCCGAGCTTCAGCGGTGAAGATGTCCGCAAATCATTCCTCAGCCATCTTCTCAAGGAGCTTGATCGCAGATCAATCAATACATTCATCGACCATGGGATCGAGAGAAGTCGCCCAATAGCCCCGGAGCTTTTATTGGCGATTAGAGAATCGAGGATCTCAATCGTCGTCTTCTCTAACAAGTATGCTTCTTCCACCTGGTGCTTGAATGAACTGGTTGAGATCCACGACTGTTCTAAGAAATTGGATCAAATGGTGATTCCTATTTTCTACAACGTTGATCCTTCGGAAGTTAGAAAACAGAGTGGTGAATTTGGAAAGGTCTTTGAAGAGACATGCGAGGGCAAAACAGATGATGAGAAACAAAGGTGGATGCAAGCTCTAGCAGATGTGGCAAATGTGGCTGGGGAGGATTCTCGAAACTGGTATTTTTCAAAAAAAATTATTTTATTAGGGTGTTCCTTGTTGACATTTGAGTATTGGTTTTAGGTGTGATGAAGCAAACATGATTGAAACAATTGCCAACGATGTTTCGAATAAGCTTATAACACCATCGAGTGATTTTGGTGATTTTGTTGGTGTTGAAGCTCATTTAGAGAGATTGGATTCAATCTTGTGCTTGGAATCTGAAGAAGCTAGAATGGTAGAGATTGTAGGACCTTCTGGGATTGGTAAGAGTACCATAGGAAGAGCTCTTTTCAGTCAACTCTCTAGCCGATTCCATTATCGCGCTTTCGTAACTTATAAAAGAACCAACCGGGACGATTATGGCATGAAGCTGTGTTGGGAAGAACAGTTTTTATCAGAAATTTTATGTCAAAAGGACATGAAGATTTTGCATTTAGGTGCGGTGGAACAAAGGTTAAAGCACAAGAAAATTCTTATCGTTCTTGACGATGTGGATGATCTTGAGCTATTAAAGACCTTGGTGGGACGACCTGGATGGTTTGGGATTGGAAGCAGAATTGTTGTGATAACTAAAGATAAACAACTTCTCAAGTCTCATAAGATTGACCTTGTTTATGAGGTGGATTTCCCATCTGAAATTTTGGCTCTGCAAATGTTTTGTCGATGTGCTTTTGGGCAAAACGCTCCACCAGATGGTTTTGTGAAGTTAGCTCGCGAAGTTGCAAACCTTTCCGGTAATCTTCCTTTAGGTCTCAATGTCTTGGGTTCTTCTTTAAGAGGAAAGGACAAGCAGGAATGGATGGAGTTGTTGCCTAGGCTCCGAAATGGTCTGGATGGGAAAATTGAGAAGACATTAAGAGTCAGCTACGATGAGTATGATGACAAAGATCAAGAAGTTTTCCTTTACATTGCGTGTTTACTTAATGGTCAAAAAGTTGATTATATCAAGAACTTGCTTGGAGATAGTGTATATGTAGGGATTAAAATGTTGGCTGATAAGTCCCTCATACGTATAACACCACCTCGCAAAACTGTACACATGCACAACTTACTACAAAAGTTGGGTAAAGAAATTGTTCGTGTAGAGTCCATTTACAATCCTGGAAAACGGCGATTCTTGGTGGATACTAAGGATATTTGTGATGTATTTACCGAAAATACTGTGAGTTTTTTACATATGCTTTTCATGTTTGACTCCATATAAATTGAAGAAAGTCATTTATTATTTGATAGATTATTGTGACTGTTATAAAATACTAAATTTTTTTTCAGGGAATTGAAAATGTGCTAGGCATATCTTTCAACACATCAGAAATCGATGAGCCGTTGTTTATAAATGAACAATCATTCAAAAGAATGCGTAATCTCACATTTCTAAAATTTTACAAGGAGTGGTCGCGAGAGACTAGTGAAGGCAGATTGTGTTTACCTCAAAGCTTCATTTCTTTGCCCCGGAAACTCAGATTTCTATACTGGGATGAATATCCGTTGACAAGTATGCGCTTCAACTTTAAGGCGGAAATTCTGGTTAAGCTCAATATGGAGAATAGCAAGCTTGAAAAGTTATGGGAAGGAGTCCAGGTACTACCTTTATGTTTACTTCCTATTCAGTTTGATTTATGAATATCGACAAGGCATAAGTTCAAAGAGTCATATATCATGTATGATTTATTTTAAAGTTATGTGACATGTGTATACCATCTAATTCTCGCCATGTTGTTTCAGCCACTTCGAAGTCTCAAGAAGATAAGATTGGATGGGTCTACGGAGTTGAAAGAAATTCCAAATCTTTCTAATGCCATAAATCTCGAGAAATTGAATCTTTGGGGATGCACATCTTTGGTGACACTTCCGTCCTCAATTCAAAAACTTAGTAAACTGAGAAAGTTATCGATGGAGGAATGCACAAAGCTCAAGGTTCTGCCTACTGATATCGACTTGGGATGTCTTGATTACCTCAATCTCAATGGATGCTCAAGATTGAGAAGTTTTCCTCGAATTTCGAGGAACATTTCAGGGCTCATTTTAGATGGAACTACAATAGAAGAAGAAGATTCCGTCTACCTTGAGAATATCTCCGGGCTCACTAAACTCGACTGGAATGGTTGCCCAATGAAATGTTTGCCTCCTGGCTTTCGCCCAGAAAATCTAGTTTATCTCACCATGAGAGGTAGTAAGCTTGAGAAGTTATGGGAAGGAATCCAGGTAATGTAATGTTCTCATAAACGGTCTTTTTTTCTTTTAGCTATAGCATTTGGTGATTGGCTTGATTCCCAAAGAAGTCTGACAGGGTGGGTACGTGCTAGCTCGTCTTGATGTTCCTAAATATATAATTTACAACATGAAATAATCGAGAATGCATACAAAAAGTTTAGAAACTTTTGTTAAAGCTTAACATTATGATTCAGCTAGAGTGGGTTTCAATAAAATACAAGTTAATATAAGGGAACTAAAAGTAAAAATTTAGTAAGAATGGAGGCTTTTTTAAGTTGGTTAGGTATCAAAAACAACTTCACACCCTTAAAACTTAGACTATAAAAAAACATTAGAGAATTCTATCTGCATAGTGTTGATGCATGTAACTTTTAATAAATAGGACAAGCAAAAACTCATTATATATTTGTTTTTCTTTATTTCTTTTGTTTCAGTCGCTTGGAAGCCTCGTGAGGATGGATTTGTCAGGAAGTGAGAACCTGAAAGAATTTCCAGATCTTTCGACGGCCATCAATCTTGACCACTTGGAACTCAACGATTGCAAAAGTTTAGTGATGCTTCCTTCTTCAATTCGTAATCTCAATAGATTGACGCGGTTGGAAATGCAAGGATGCACAAAGCTAAAATTTCTTCCAACCAACGTCTACTTGGAATCTTTAGAGTACCTTGATCTCAGGGGATGCTCAAGTTTAAGATTTTTCCCTTGGATTTCAAGGAACATTTCTGAGCTCCATCTAAACGGAACTGCGATAGAAGAAAACAAAGATTGTTTCTTTATCGGGGATATCTCTGGGCTCACTGAACTCGTTTGGAGTAATTGTCCCATGAAATATTTGCCTTCTAACTCTTGCGCAGAACATCTCATAGAACTCGCAATGCCATGTAGCAAGCTTGAGAAGCTATGGGAAGGTATCCAGGTAAAGTTCTTATGATGTTCTATAATATTTTCTTGGCCTTTCTTCTTCTTAATTGCTATATGATTTGCTTGGCCTGCAAACTTGATTGGAGTATGTATATATGATATAAAACCTCTTAGCTTCAAACTAGATATTCCGAAATCTATATATTTTATAAATCTATTTATATACTACAATTTTCACAAAAAAAATGATTATAAATTACTTATTCCTTACAAATTATAGGTGTTATTAGAACTAAATAATATTTACGTATTCTCAAGTTTAATTAACAATTGATGTGCTTTAATCATTTGCTAAAAGTTCGGATTTGTGATCCACTTCTTAGCATGCAAAATTTAAACGCAAATGCAGATGAAACCACCCTCAATAGAAAATGATAATCTCCTGGCTGTTTTTTCCTTTGAAATTCTGATGAACATATCACCTCTCACAGTCACATGTTAATATACATTTGCACACAAAATGTAAAAACTACATAAGTTATATACAATGGCAAGTCCCCTAGTGATTTGTACTTGTGTTTTCATTGTTTCATCCTTCGGTTCAAACCTTTCTCCGTTTAAATGGATAACAATATACCTTTCTCTGTTTCAGTCGCTTGGAGGTCTCAAAAGGATGGACTTGTCAGGATGTGAAAGCCTAAAAGAAATTCCAAATCTTTCAAAGGCTACAAATCTTGAATATTTGAATCTCAGCAATTGCAAAAATTTGGTGATGCTTCCGCCTACAATTCGGAATCTCAAAAAACTGGTGACTTTGAACATGGAAGGATGCACAGGACTCAAGTTTCTTCCAAATGATGTTAACTTGGTATCTCTTAATCCGTTCTTCAATCTCAGTGGATGCTCACGGTTGAGAAGTTTTCCTCGGATTTCAACGAGTATTACATGTCTTTCTCTAGACTTCACTGCGATAACAGAAGTTCCTTCTTGGATTGAGAATATGTTTAGCCTCACTTCTCTAACGATGAAAAGTTGCAAGAAGTTGTCAAATCCTTATCAGGTTTTAGAGTGTTTTTCAAAACGGTGCGTTTTGGTAAGGTAGGCGATTTTTTGGCGATTAGGGTTTTGTGGTTGCTTGATCGTAAAGGCTCCTCGCCGGCGGCGTCACGACTACTCGAGAGAGGATGTCGAAGGTGAGGGTGGATCCGCCGGATCTACCAAACCTAAAGGAAGCGGGTTCATGGGTCTCAGTGGTTCAAAACAAGCAGGTTCTAAAAAAGTACGATGTCAACATTTCAACTTCAGATGGTCAAAATTCGGTGGAGATTCCAGATGAGATTCTCCAAAACTCTACGCCGCTCTGGGAAGATTTTCTGGTGGGTAAGTTTCTGGAAACGGCCCCTCACGTTGCAAAGGTTCACGTTATTGTCAACAAAATTTGGAAATTGGGTACAGATCAGAAGATTGATGTTTATGAGGTCAATCCTACTACTCTAAGATTTCGAGTTCGTAATCCTTTGGTTCGAGCCCGGATTCTGAGGAGGGGTATGTGGAATATAGCTGAAGTCCCGATGGTGGTGTCAAAATGGTCCCCGACAACTGAGAAGGAACAGCCGGAGGAAAAATCAATTCCTTTATGGGTTTATTTGAAGAACGTCCCGATGAATATGTTTTCATGGGAAGGTTTGAGTTTTATCACGAGTGCAGTGGGCCACCCTCTGCATTTGCATCCTGAAACGGCTGCTTGCTCAAGTTTCGATGTCGCGAAGATTTTCGTAAATGTTGATCTGTCTAAACCGTTGCCGAAAAGGATTCGTTTTGGAAAAGAAGGTTTCGAGTTCTGGGTAGATTTCCTCTATCCATGGCTGCCTCCAAGGTGTTCTATATGTGAGAAATGGGGACATTTAGACTCTCGATGTGTGGTAAACAAGAGAGTTCTTGAGAGAACCAACACTAGAAAAATCAGAGGAAGTTTCGAAGCAAAGCAACGTTTCTGAAAATATGCTTGGTGAAGAAACTAAGATCGTAACAGAGCAGGTTGTGGAGAAGGAAGAGACAGTTTTGATAAGTGATACGATGATTGTTAGTCCGAAAGAGAAAACTGTAGAAGATGCAGAGGAGTGGTCACAAGTTTCACCGTCGAAAGCAAGTAGAAGTCCATTTGGCAAGGCGAATCTACAAGATAGATCACAACCAATCACCACAACATCTCAATTTGCAGTCCTTAGTGTAGATGAAGAAGAGGGAGAGATAGTAGAAAAAGATGATAATGTTGAGGGAAAGACTGAAGCTGGTAAAGCAGTGGTCCAAACCAAAACAGGGGATACAAAAGGAGAAGCAGAGACAAAGGTGGGTGGTAGAGCTCCTCTTTCTCGTAATGCAAAGAAGAAGATGAACGGCACTTCGGAGACTTCAGCTCATGGAACCAAGGACACGATCCTAGGTACATCGAGTAAAAAGTCCTCCCGAAGAAACCTATAAATGAAGAGCTTCTCATGGAATGTGCGCGGATTTAACAAACATATTAAACATTCCGTCGTTCGTAATTGGACAAATAATAAGGATATGCAATTTGGCTGCCTATTAGAGACGCGAGTCAAGGAAAAGAAAGCAGCTTGTATAGTGTCATCAGTTTTCAAAGATTGGTCTTTCATGGCAAATTATGAATTTAATCGGTTAGGCCGTATTTGGGTACTCTGGAAATCTGCGGTTCGTATGACTCCGGTATACAAAAGCGACCAACTCATAACTTGTTCTGTATTGATGGAAGGAGAGGTGGAGGAATTCTTCTGTTCTTTTATATATGCAGAAAATCTAGTAGAAGAGAGAAGGAGTTTATGGGTGGATTTGAGGAATCACCATGACTCTCCAATGTTTAGAAATAAACCTTGGATTCTTATGGGTGATTTTAATGAGATTCTTGATGGAGAAGAACACTCGGATTTTGTTCACTCCCCAATCATACCCCCTGGTATGAGAGATTTTCAAGAAACTGTGAGGCATTGCACATTGACGGATATGGGTTCACACGGGCCTTTATTCACTTGGTGCAACAAGCGCGATGAGGGTTTGATTTGTAAAAAGCTAGATCGAGTTCTTATGAATGACGTCTGGCTCCATCGAAATTCACAAGCATACTGTGTTTACGAAGCAGGTGGCTGCTCCGACCATCTCCGAAGCCGCATTCAGCTTCAACCAGCAAGGCCTTCTGTGAAGAAGCCTTTCAAATTTGCAAATATGATAGCAGGCATGCCGGAATTCTTGCCCCTGATCCAAAATTTCTGGGACAACACGGTGACTTTGTTTGACTCAACTTCTGCTATGTTTAGGTTCTCAAAGAAATTAAAAGGTTTAAAGCCTCATATTAAGCAGTTGAGTCGTGACAAGTTGGGGGACTTACCGAAAAGAGCAAAGACTGCCTATACAGAGCTTTGTGGAAAACAACAAGAGACTTTACTAAATCCAACTGAAGAAGCGATTAGGGATGAAGTCGCAGCGTATGAAAGATGGAAACACATTTCAGAGCTAGAAGAGGCTTTCTACAAACAGAAATCAAAGCTCCATTGGCTCGACGTTGGTGATCAAAATAATAAAGTTTTTCACAATGCTGTGAAAATTCGGGAAGCTCAAAACACAATACGAGAGATTTGCTGTGAGGATGGTACAACTGTTTCAACGCAAGAGGAAATCAAGAGTGAAGCAGAGAGGTTCTTCTCGGAATTTCTTGGTCTGGTACCCGAGGAATTTGAGGGTATAACTGTGGAAGAGTTGGAAGCTTTGTTACCTTTTAGATGCAATGGCGATAATCAAAACATGCTAGAAAAGGAGGTAACAGAGGCCGAAATTATGGAAGTGTTATTCTCAATGCCTGCAAACAAAGCTCCCGGTCCGGATGGTTATAGTAGTGAATTCTTCAAAGTAGCTTGGCCGGTAATTGGTAAAGATTTTACAGTGGCAATTCAATCTTTTTTCACTAAGGGTTTCCTTCCAAAGGGAGTAAACACCACTATTCTTGCGCTAATTCCCAAAAAAGAAGATGCAAAGGTAATGAAAGATTATAGACCAATCTCATGTTGCAATGTTCTTTATAAAGTGATATCAAAGATTTTGGCGAATAGACTAAAGGGGCTGCTACCGGAGATTATTTCACCTAACCAAACAGCTTTTGTGAGAGACCGTTTATTGATGGAGAATGTCTTATTAGCTTCGGAATTGGTTAAAGACTATCACAAAGAAGAGATTTCTCCTCGTTGTGCGATGAAGATAGACATTTCGAAAGCTTTTGACTCGGTCCAATGGTCCTTCCTCCTGAACACGCTACATGCTCTTAATTTTCCACAGAAATTTATCCATTGGATTCGATTATGCATTTCCACGGCATCTTTCTCGGTACAAGTAAATGGGGAACTTGCGGGTTTTTTTTGCAGCAAACGTGGGTTGAGACAGGGTTGTGCTCTATCTCCTTATTTGTTCGTGATATGTATGAATGTTTTATCCCATTTGATTAACAAGGCAGCAGTAGAAGGCCGGTTTGGTTATCATCCTAGATGCCAAGCTCTCCTTTTAACGCATTTGTGTTTCGCAGATGATCTAATGGTTTTTGCCGAGGGAAATAAAAGATCAATCGAGGGTGTCATCTCGATATTTGATGATTTTGCGAGATGTTCGGGTCTTCAAATAAGTTTGGAGAAGTCAACTCTGTACATGGCAGGAATATCAAACACCGAGCAGGAAGAAATTCGAATCAATTTTCCATTTGAATCAGGAGAGTTACCGGTACGCTACCTTGGACTGCCGTTGATGACCAAATCAATGACAACACGTGATTGCTTACCTCTGATCGAGAAAATAAGAGCCAGGATTAGCACTTGGACGAGCAGATTCTTGTCTTACGCAGGAAGACTGCAACTGATTCGCTCTGTTCTAATGAGTATCACCAATTTTTGGTCCTCTGCTTTCAGATTACCTGGAGCCTGTATGAAGATGATAGAGAGTCTTTGCTCAGCTTTTCTTTGGAGTGGGCCTGATTTAAAGACACATAAAGCAAAGGTATCATGGCGTGATGTTTGTCTTCTTAAGAGTGAAGGAGGCCTCGGCCTCAGACCTCTCAAAGAAACAAATAAGGTCTGCGGTCTCAAACTAATATGGCGTCTCCTTGATGCAAAGACGTCGCTCTGGGCACAATGGGTGCAAACCTATCTAATCCGCAACAAATGTTTCTGGGCAATGAGAGGAGGGACTAACCAGGGTTCTTGGATGTGGAGGAAGCTCCTGAAGCTGCGAGAAACGGCAAAGGGCTTTCACCATAAGCTGATAAAGAATGGAAAAAACACATCCTTTTGGCATGACAATTGGTCTACACAGGGAGTTCTGGTGGATGTTCTTGGGAACAGAGGTTACATTGATCTCGGGATTGCAAGAACAGCGACTATGGAAGAAGTTATGAACAGCCATCGAAGCAGGAGGCATCGGGATTCAAAGCTGAATCATATAGAGGCTGAAATAAGCGCAACCAGAGAGGCTAGGAAAATTGATGAGGAAGACGTCCATATGTGGAAGTGGAGAACAGGTTTTAAGAAGTGTTTTTCAACCCGTGAGACATGGATGCTCATTAGAGAAGAGCGACAAAAATGTGAATGGGCTAAAGGTGTCTGGTTTCCACAAGCTACACCGAAATATGCTTTCATCACATGGCTCGCTATGCATAATCGTTTAGCCACAGGTGACCGTATGATGAAGTGGAATCAACCGCCGAACACTGCATGTGTACTATGTCAAGCTCCGATGGAGACAAGGAACCACCTTTTTTTCCATTGTCGTTACTCTAAACAAGTTTGGGGAAAGCTCATGAAAGGCATTCTGAAAAATAAATACACCACAGATTGGAATCAGCTTGGTCAGCTAGCTACAAATGCAACACTAGATCATCGCTCACAGCTTCTCTTGCGTTACACTCTTCAAGCAACGGTTCATTCATTGTGGAGGGAGCGTAACAACCGTCGACACGGTGAAGAACCCACGACGTATCAAAAACTCAGCAAACTCATTGACAAAACCATTCGGAACAGGCTAAGTATTCTTCGCAACTCCGGCGATAAAAAATATGAGGATATCCTCATGTTTTGGTTTGCTACTAGAAATTAGTTTCTTGCATCTATAGTTCTAAAAACACTTTCTGAAAAGCCACACATGTTGTAACCCAGGTTTTTTTGGTGAATAAATTTTACATTCATTCAAAAAAAAAAAAAAAAAAAAAGATGAAAAGTTGCAAGAAATTAAAGAAGGTCGCATCAAACAGTTTTAAATTGAAACGTCTTCTGGTGGTAGACTATTCAGATTGTGAAAGAGTCACGTGTTTCGGTGATGCAAGTGCGGATACACATACCACTGAGAGTCAGCTACCAGTGACCGAGGAAGCTTCCTTTCATCTTTCATATTTAATAGTATGTGCAAAGAACTGTAAATCTCTCCAGAGTATATCTCACTACTTCCTCAATCCAATGAGTTGTCTCAATTTTCACAATTGCTTCAAGCTGGACCAAGATGCACGGGAACTCATCTTACAGTCAGACTTCAAGTATGCGGTCTTACCAGGTGGAGAAGTGCCTACATATTTCAGGCATCGAGCTTATGGAAGTTCTCTAACTATCTCTTTATGTAAGAGCTCTCTTTCTCAAAAAGTGTTGCGGTTTAAAGCTTGCATCATGCTTGACCTTTTGACTCTCCCCAAGGATCATTCTGCAAATATTACTGTACAATGGTACCTCAGAGGCAAAAGCAACATTCATCATGTTGAAATTGACGTTGACTCGTGTCAGGTAGATCATCTGGTTGTGTTCCACTTTGAGTTATGTCTTTCAAAAGAAGTCAATGGTCATCCATACAAATTTGACTACGACGATGTGGAATTCAAGTTTGAATATCATAGCAATGCTTGTTCTTGCATGAGATGTTCGCCTATCCACTACAAGCAAACATGTCCCTTGTCACTCCAGAAGATAAAAGGATGCGGAGTACGACTCTTGAATGTCTCTCCATCTAAGGATGGTAGTGGTACGAGCTCTGAAACAGAGTACAACCAACAGTATGGAGATAGTGACATAGAGAGTGGGTGAAGCAAGAAGTGAATGCGGGTAAAGCTTTTCAATGAACTGAAAATTTTAGAGATCTAACTCTTGATTCATTTCCAGGATCAACTGGAAATAGACCATTGGAATTGAATATTGATTTTATTATGCATATGTCTGTAAGAACATCTAAAGAACCTTCCAACTTACTCTGTGGTAAAAACAGTAGCTTGCTCCAAATTTAGAGCTTTCCTTAGGACAGGGTGAAGCTTCCGCCCAGATGTCTTGGACAAGTATGATACCATCGTCATCAGTTTCTTTGAGCAAGTTTCATGGTGATGGAACTTCGTTGTATCTTTCCCTTTCTCCTTATGAATGGAGATATATACTGGTAAATGACAAGACGGTTTCTTAGTTTTTTAAACAAGCCATGTTCTCCTGCAGATGATGGAGCACTTTCTGAGAAC